AGGTAAATACCCAGAAATGGGATTGCTGGGTAATATGGTAATTCTTTTTTTTATTGAAGAAATCCCATACTGTTTTCCATAATAGCTGTACCAATTTACATTCCCGCCAACAGTGCACCAGGGTTCTCTTTTCTCCTCACTCTCACCAACATTTATTTCTGTCTTTTTGATAATAGCTGTTCTAACTGGTATGAGGTGACATCTTAAAGTGGTTTGATTTGCACTTCCCTGATGGTTAGTGATGCTGAACACCTTTTCATGTACCTAGTGCCCTTCTCTATATCTTCTTTAGAAAAATGTACATTCAGATCCTCTACCCATTTTTAACAGGATTGTTTTGATTTTTGCTACTTAGCTGTATGAATTTTTATGTATTCTAGATATTAACCCCTTATCAAATATTTTATTTGCAAAGCCTTTATCCCATTCATTTGGTTACCTTTTCATTTTGTTGATGGTTTCTTTTGCTCTACAGAGTTCTTTAGTTTGAAGTAGTTCCACTTGTTTATTTTTGCTTTTGTTGCATTTGCTGTCAAATCCAAAATATTATAGCTGAGTCTGATGTCAAGGGGCTTATCACTTATGTTTTCTTCTTGGAGTTTTATGGTTTCAAGACTTACACTTAGATTCTTTATCCATTTTGAGTTAATTTCTGTGTATGTTGTAAGATAAAGATCCAGTTTTTTTCTTTTGCATGTGTCTGCCATTTCCCCAATGCTATTTATTGAAGAAACTCTGTTCCCATTGAATATTCTTGGATTCTTTGTTGTAAATTAATCAGTAATATATGCATGGTTTATTTCTTGGCTCTGTATTTGGTTCTACTGAACTGTTTTGATTTTTATGCCAATACCATAATTTTCATTACTATAGCTTTGTAATATTGCTTGAAATCAGGAAGCATGATGCTACCAGGGAATAAATATATTTTTAATTGCCTTTTACAGAAATATCATACAAACCCCTCAAATTTGTTTTTTATGCTTATAATTTTGCAATTGCCTTATATAAGCTAAAATAAAGAAGAAATCCTTATGTTACTGCATGAGGGAGATGTACATTTATGAGGATGGCAGTGCTAAGAAATTTCTTGGTGGGAATTATTTCTGAAGTATTGTTAGGGAAATTCTATGCCCTTTTAAGAAACTTGCTTCATCAGTACATGCATCATCTGCCATTTTAAAGATGTTCAACTAACCAGAATACTAGTGTATTTTCATATATTTTTGTGACTTTTCTCATTTCCCATGCCAATGGCAATTTGAGCCCTAGTACAGGCCAACTTGGACCCATTCCATGTAGTATGGTATGAGTATAAATAGTCTTCTATACATACCTTGAACACCATGTAACATTTTTATCTTATCATTATTTATGTTATATTAGAAAAGGTAAGTATGAACTTTAACTCATGGAGATGAGATAAAATTTCTCTTTGAATCTTTCACGCACATAAAAGATACTTATTTAAAACTAGGAAAAATGATACTACACAGCAACTGGATGGATTAGAAAAAGCTCATAGAAATTGCTGCATTTATAACTTGCGTGCTCACGCTTAGAGTCAGATTAGATTTGTCATGAATCTGGTATTGCCATTTTGATATTCCTGGAAACAGTCAAGTATGAATTGCTATTAATGCAATCGGTATGCTTAATTGAGTTTGTAGGAATGCTTTTCTTATAATGAGCAAAAATTATTAAAGAGAAAGGACAATAGTCAAATATTCTTTAGGTCTGAATGTTCAGATATTAATGAATTAAGGTAGCATTTGGCAGGATACAAAGGGGATGTCACTATGATTTTAAATATATTTGGTTTATTTTGTTAAACATTTATGTAGATAATTTATAACATAGAAATTAATAGGTGAAAGAGTACAAAAATAAACCTTCCAGCCTTACCCAAGAGTATATAATTAACATGTAAAATATAAAAATAGATTTAATTGAACTGCCCCTTCAGAGACTTTTGCATCAGTCTTAGTACTTCATTAGCATTAATATTTACAATGATAGTCTTTTCTAATGATAATATGATATCTTCTTTTTTAGGCCAATTAATGATATTACTAAGCTATATAATACATCTTCATTTTGTGATAATATTTTTATGAATAATAAACTATTGATTTAAACACTACTAATCATAAGATTATATGTTCACTGACACAAATTTTGCTCTCCTTGATGCTTAGATATGGAATATGATAGTGTTGAAATCAAATAACTATTTTAATTTTGTATAAGCTTAATACTCTAAGTATAGCATCATAATATTTTCATCTATTATTTTAACAATAAAAATAAAAACACTGTAAATTTAAAAATATTATAGCTTTTAATATATTTTAATAAATATATACAATTAAAGTAGAATTAAACTAAAATTAAATGCAAATGTAAAGATTTTTCATACAGGATTTTTATAGTTTAGCAACTTACATTTAGGTATTTTATCCATTTTCAGTATTTTTGTGTATGATATAAGTTGGTGGTCTAGTTTCTTTTTGTTGCACGTACCACTCCAGTTTTCCCAGCACCATTTATTGAAGGGACTGTCTTTGCTCCATTGTAGGCTCTTGTGATCTTTGTCCAATATCAATTGATCAGAAAGGCATGGGTTTATTTCTCAGTTCTCTGTTCTGGCCCATTAATCAATATGTCTAGTCTCATATTATCTTACATGTATATTCTAATATTTAAGCTTAAACAGTAGTATTAGGATCAATTTTCTGAGCACTCTACTATACCCTACTCTACCCTTCTCTGTTAAGTTTTAACATAAATCATGATAAATTTTGATTAAGGCATGGTCTTTAACATATGTCTTTACACTAAGGAAATAATCATGAGTCATATTTTTGGGTCTTAGACTGACCATGCCTTAAGCTTGATCTGAACATGTTGACCACTTTAGAAATTCAATACCTCTGTGGATTTTTATGAAATCTTTAACAAGTGATGAATTATAGCTTATGAGTGATTCAGCCATGGGAAGTGAAACCAAATCTTTGATTAACACTCTATTTCTGTTTTTCACAGATAAATTCCATAGACGAACCCTTTAATTATGGCCAGCTATTTTTATTTTTTTAAAGATTTTATTTATTTTTAGAGAGAGAGGAAGAGAAGGAGAAAGAGAGGGAAAGAAACATAGATGTGTGAGAGAAACATCGATTGGTTGCCTCTCGCACACACCCCAACCAGCGACCAGCCTGCAACCCAGGCATGTGCCCTAACCAGGAATTGAACCAATGACCTTTCACTTTGCAGGAGGACACTCACCCACGCTGGTCAGGGCAGGCTGGCTATTTTTAATCCTCATTTTATAACTTATAAAATGCCCTTAGTACACTAAAAAATAGGCTAAATTAATTGAATAGAGAGTGACTAAAAACTTGTCTTCATCCGCTAGGTTTTAACACATAATCTCTAATACCTTACAGTAGAATCAATTATGATGAATCCTTAAGGCTAATGCCTGAAAACTCAATTGTCTCTGCCCAGAGTTAGTTGATACTATTAAGTCATATATTAGATGGTGTTCTGCATTTATTCAGTTGTCATTAATTTGTATCATAAATCAATCTCTACTAAGAATAGTAACACTAGACCCGGAAACTTGTGACAGAAAAGCTCCACAGTGAGACCAGAGAGAGCTAGTATCTTATTTAACTCTGACCCCTTGACAACAGCAGTACACTTGGATGCATTTAGCTAATTTGTTCTTTTTTTTAATACTAAATCTTCAGAACACTTAGCCTGGTGAAAAAGCAGAGACAGGAGATCAGGTACTAGGAAAGTAGAGGGAGAAAAAAAAGGAAAAAACGATGGAGGAAGAAGGATGGAAGGAAGGGAAGGAGGGAGGCAGGAAGAAAAGGAGCAAGGGAATTCATTTGAGGGTATCACATCACCTGGGAATAAGAGACATATTTTACCAAAATATATCCCTACTGGATAAATGACAGAAAGGTTTAATAATTCAGTGCCACTGCTTTTTGAATGTTTGAACATGTGCTGATGCTAACTAGAAGGATTATTTTTGAAGAGTAAAATGAGAAGGGAACAGGATTTTGAAGAGAGCTGACTTCATATTTTGGGGATTTTGAAAGAGTTGAAAATGGTACTTCAATTACTGAATGGAATATATTTTAATTTAAAGAGATAATTATAACTTCAGAAATGAGGAATATTTCTGCTGTCTTTTAGTACTGTCATTTTAAATTCTTGACATTTGTAACAAAAATATATCTGGTGTTGTATACGCTTACTAATTATTAGTTGGTTTTTAAGAACATTAACTTAAAATAGTAAAAGACCATTTCTATCTCAATTATATTTCTCATGGTAATCATTCTCCATCTTTTCTTCATGTGGCTAATTACAGAACAAGCTGTTCTTTGGAGTAAGGAACAGTTTACTCAGTTACTCATCAGTCAAGAATAACTTTATTGTGCCCGGTAGTGTCATAGTAATTCACAAACAATATTACCTAATGAATAAGGCTATAAAGTGAATAATAATTCATATGTTATAATCATGCTTCACTTTATCAATTGCAGTTATGTGTACATTTGGACTATGCCTTCTCAATTTGTGACAGCCATTACTATCTCTTTATAAGCAAAATGCTCCTAAATTTTATATGTAAATTGTATCCTCTGGGGTTTCTTACACTGGAAATATATTCATACAAAATTTTTATAAAATATCTGCTCAATATGGACAAAGCCTTAGTATATTACTGAATATAGCTGAATTTAAGAAGTATTTGTTAATATCAGGTTAATCACTACAGATCCTACCAAGATCTCAGAAAGTTCTATTTGATATAACTAATAAAGAATAATGTCCTTTTGTATTGTTAAGTTTCAATATACATGTTCCAGTTAACTCCTGAGCACCAATGCCCACTTTGTGTGCACCTTATAATTTGTGATAATTGTTGTCCCACCTTTTTAATATATATATATATATTTTTTACTTTTTCAATACAGGTAATGGATTAGGAATTAGAATTGTGGGTGGTAAAGAAATCCCTGGACATAGCGGAGAAATTGGAGCCTATATCGCCAAGATTCTCCCCGGGGGAAGTGCAGAACAGACAGGGAGACTTACGGAAGGTAAGAATAAGGATTTCAAATAAATTAAAATAAATGAACTCATATAAATATCAATTTAATATGCATACTTTTTTGCTGTCTAGGAAATCCTTTTCTTATGGTTGTTAAATTTTTGCATAGTAATATACAAGAATATATGACCACGGCTATGTTCGTTTTATTTACAATTGTATTTTCCTTTTGGCAGGTGGTTTGCCATGGGAATATATCTTGTTTAAGAAATAGCAATAAGTCATGATTATTTACTGACTGGGACAATATTATAAATAAAAGGTACTTTGGTTGTAGGGATTAATGCTTCATAAATCCTAAGAAAAATTATATTGAAATCACAGCTATAAAAACATCAGGTGTTTCAGTACATGTTAAAGTCACGTGAGCAAGTTATCGGCAAGCCAAGGTCCAAACCCATCTGCTGCCTGTTCTCGTAAACATTGTTTGATTGGAGCACAGCCAGGATCATGAATTTACATATTGAACATGGATGCTTTTCCTCTAGCAGGACTGTATTCACAAAAGAGAAAGTATGGTCTACAATGCCTAAAACATATACTCTTGGATCCTTTACTGAAAAAGTTTGCCAGCTTCTGTGCCGGGTACTGTCTACTTTAGACATCGTTCACCTTGTTACATCATAAGCATTTTAATTTATTTTTATTTTATTTTTTAGTTTAATTTAACTTTTTCCATCACCATTTATCCCCCCATACCTTCTTCTGCCTTCACCCACCACTCCTCCCTGCCCAGTCACACAGTGTTGTCTGTGTCCATGAGTTCTTTCTCTCTTTTTTTTCCTCAACTCCTCCATCCCCAGCCTCACAAGCGATAATCATAAGCATTATAAAATAATGAAATTTACAGATGTATCTAATAGCCCATAAAGTTTATATTTAATCAATTTCTTTGACTAAAATGTTACAGCTTGAATCTCAAAATGCATAATGATAATTTTTACTTGTTAATTAGATGATGCAGTCATTTGCATTTTCCAAACTATAGCATAGATGTAGTTTTCAAGTTTTCAGTGATATTGTTTATAGTGAACATTTTCTATCATAAAGTAGCCTCTGCCTGTCTTTTATTTTTACTGTAAATCAAATATTTATTTGAAAATTGTTTTTCTATCATTTTGTAGTTTAATAAAATGTCTCCTGTTACTACTTAAAATTTTTAATTTTACTAAAATATTCACTGCCATTGTCTTTAATTAAATGTATTGGAACCCAGCTAAAGTTTCTGAATATTTTGATAGGCTATTAGAATAACCACAGACTTGAGGAAATATTTATTTATCACAGTGTCCTGCTGAAATCAGCTTGCACACCTCTGTCCAACTTCATTTTCAGTGTCATCCCATTGGTAGCTTAAATTGGCCATAGTGAGAGTATTTACAACATGGAAATAGGCAAATGCTATAAACTCTGCCATTTGTGTATGTTTATTTGGTTGCTCATTTTCAGAGTTCCACTTTACCAGGGTTTTACCAAATATGTTGCTGAAAGCATAATATCAGAAATATTCTAATAATATTCATAAAATAGGAAAAGTTAGAGGAGGTAACCAGATAACTAAATGAAGGACTAGGCTGTATGAATCAAGATATACCAATCATGAGTAGATCACTGGGTCTGTATGAATTCTCTATGACTGTAATAATATCATTAATGCTAATTTTTTTGTGTTCCAATCTACTTAAGATACAGGAATTGAGACCCATTTTTAAGGATGGTAGTGACATGACTATTCTCATATTAAAGTACTCCAGAAAGAAATGAGTATGCTAATTTATTTTAAAATAAAATTTGCAGCAATGACTGCACCTGATATAATTTAACAGAAATACTTGCATGATTTAAAGATAAAATTTCATAACCTTCTTTGTATTTACACCATGGAAATTGGCAACTGCTAAAAATTGGGATGATTTTAAAGACAATTTCTACAAGCATACTGTGATGAGGGAATGTTCTTTGCACTTGGTAGCTTATATGGCTTTTTATGAGTTCATAAATTTAAAAAAGATATGATATAAACTTATTAAAGAGAAATTTGAAGCATACTTAAAATTATATTTGTGATTGTACAAACTCAAAGACCTCCACTGAAGTCCTCATCTCTTTTGAAACAAGTAGTTTTGTAGTTTATCTAATTGGTTTAAGGGGGAAGTTATTAATAACTATGTACATATGATATAAGTTTTTATTTTCATTGATTATATTATTTATTAATTTTCCTGAAGCTTTGCCAAGATGCCAAGTCAGGCCTTTCTTTATGAATGTCTCTAGAATCCAGTTCTTTCATAACCCACACCCATAATTTTTATTCATTGATATCCAGCTTTGCTTTATTTATTCTTATAACATAGGTCTTTAATAGAATACTTAGTAGTATTTCTATGAGGTTATGATATTATCTTGATTGTCAATATTTAGGTCCCGATTTTGAAACATTAAATATTTTGAGGAGTAGCTTTGACCTATGATAAATCATTTACTTTCTCCCATCCATATGGTCTATGCCACCAGGCTCAAATGATGAAGGTTTATTCTTTTTATGTCCAAAGATGGACTGACTAGAAGGCCGCAGGCCAGATGACTATTCATAAGCACTTATTGTGTTTAGACCATATGTTCTCTGGATGTGTGTGTATATATATTATGTGCATAGTTATATATAGTTTTATGTATAGTTTTAATATATTATTTTTGTTTATCTATAATTGTGTTTCATTTATACATGATATCTTCAGAATCCTCAGCCTCAAACCCTAATAGAATATGAAAATCGTTCAAAGTACTAGATTGGTTGAAAGACAATTCTGCTTTTTAAGCCTGATGTGAGGAATTTTTATGACAACAAATTTTGATCCCTGGAGTTTGGGATTTTAAAAAATTTTTCAAATATTTGTCATTAATTCTTAAAAAAATTATTGAAGGCAGTAAGGGTTAATTTCAACAATATAAGTTTAATTCTTTTCAAAAGAAAAATTATATATCCAGTTTATGAATAGATAGATAGGTAGGTAGATAGATAGATAGATAGATAGATAGATGATAGAGTTTGTGTTCACATGATTTAATTTTTCCATCTGAGTAATGAATTCTAGGTAGAAATAGGGATTGATTTGACCTCTTCTGATTATATCTGTTTGCATTCATGAATACAAAAATATATAGACTGAGCCTTTATGATTCAATATTATTTCCAGCTGATTTAAAACACGACTGACAATTGGTTGTCTATAGAAATTATAGACTCTAATCTTTTCCTCCCCAAACTAGAAAACTGTTTTTCAGAAACAGTTTGAATCTACTGTTTTTTTTCTGTTTGGTCATTTCTCCTGTAATAGGCTTTCCAGATTCATATGGGCTGACATGTTAAGACTCTTGCAGTGTTCAATTTGCATAGACTCTACTCCATGTTAATTTGGCAGAGAGCAAGAGTATCTTCCAATTTCCTCAAGCTTTTTAACCTCTGGATTTAAAACATACTGCTCAATGATGCAGGTTTTCTGATATTCATAAGTCAAATGCTATTCTGAAAGTAATCATTTATGTAACTAATATTAAATGGGTAAAAAAAAAATCCTAAGTATACTTTCTGAGTCACTGCTCTGGTTATTTTTTCAAAGAGTTTTATTCAGCCTCTTTTTGAAAAATCTTTCTGAACAAAGCTCTCTTGTTAAATAATCTTGAAGAATTTTGTTTTTCAGAATGCTGAGAAATAGTAGTAATTACTATTACTACACTCAATAAATTAGGCTATACTCAAGAAATTGGTTTCAAAATATTTCTAATATTACTTGGTATACCATCTCCTAAAATAAAAATTACAGATAGTGTCCCGTTAAGCAATATTTCCTGACCCAATCTTTCAGTAGTATAACAATCTACAATGATTTTCTAAAAGAACTCAGGCAGTCAGGTGCTTGAGGGATCCTTATTTTCTAGTATTTCAAACTTTATTTCCCAGGAACATTTAATAAATATTTTTAACCAAATACTGGAAAAAATGGTCTTTTCGTACCTATTATTCTTCCTTTCAGTGCATAAGATCAGTCTTTGTTTTGCTGTGAAAATGAAGGCAAAAGATCTGGAGAATTAAACTACAAATCTAATGAAATTTCTAAAGTGCCATTTCTTGCTATTTGCTCTGTCTAAAAATTTAATAACTTCAAGCTAATAGTGTCAGAGCCATGAAATGTTCATCAATATTGAGGTTTTAAATGATACTAGGTATTTTCTTATTTGGGTCTTTGATATTGTTACTTCATTTTGTACTAATCTGGCATCTAAAAAAATAAAATAAAAAATAAAAGTACATTGAATATATGGACTTTGTATATTTATAGCTTGCCACTTCCATTTTAAATATTTATCCCTAGGCAAATGATTATAAACATTTATATCAAAACAAAGTTCAGTATATTCAACACTTTAAATAATGGCCTCAAAAAATTAGATGCTTCCTCTGTAATAAGTTTACTTTTCTCTAGACCCTTACCTAGACAAACTTACTGAATATCATTTCAATTTTAAAAGTTTTGAATTAATGGCATGGTTTTAAAATTATACTTTCTTTATAAGTAACTCTTCATATATTCTTCTCACATCAAAGTTTCAGCCATTTCCAAATCTGAGGAGTCCATAATACAATTCTCATTATCTCATGACAAGTACACACTTTATTTTTTATCTGATGAAGACCAGGTTCAATTTTTATTGCTGTTCTCTACCACTTTGTGCATATATCTGTTGTATCCTTTAACATTGAATTTTTTTCTGCATATTCACTTGCACAGTGCCTAATAAAACATAGTTTCAAGCAACATATATAGAAATGAATGGTGACTTCTTTCAGTTACAAAAATTGGGTGCTTATTAAGATGTCACTCCTCATAGGGTTGTATGAAGCCAATAAAATGACCCATGTATTCACATTCTACTATTTGTAAAGAGTCATGTACACTGGAGGCAGTATCAATACTTGGTAGCATAACT